TGTGCTCTGCAACTCCAGCAGTGTCGAAGGACGCTTGACGCGAGATATGCGGAAAGAAGCTCTGACACAAGCGATGGCCAGAGAAGAGGAAGTAGAGAAAAAAATCGACACGAACAGGGAGAAGTCACTTCAAGGAGGAAAAGTAAGACTTTTGTTCTTTTCCTCTATTAAACGGTTTTTATTATTTCTCCTGATATCCCGCACAAGAAAAAAAAAAAAAAAAATAGTCTCTCTCTCAGTCGCGAGGGAAAGAGAAGAATAGGGAGAAGGTCGACGGTGCGGTGGAAGAAATGGGAGTTGGGGGCGAAGAAGGTGAAGGGAAGGCCTCCGTAAGGTGACAGTGTTCGGGTATCGGTCTGATACGCGCCAGTCACCTGCTTCGGGTTTTTCTCGTTTCTTTTTCCGCCCGCCTTTTCCCTATGACGGGGTTCAGCAGTCGAAGCTCGATGTAGATAGAGGAAGGGATCCAATGGTGATTGGGGAGCAAGGTAATTTTAATGCAAGAAGACGAGAATAAAAAGAAGTATCAATCAGAAGATAGAAGCTGTGGAAGATGAAGAAAAGGGGGGAGAAGTGAAGATGGATTAGGTTGGATGGTGGACGGAGATGTATGGGGAGGAAGAGGAGAAGGAGATGATGAACTGGAGGAGTGAAGAAAGAGTGAAGAGTGAAGAGATGGAGAGGAAAAGGAAGAGCCTCCTGATTGAAGTCAACTAGACTACTAGAGTCAAGGCGTTGTTCCAATCTTAAAGGAAGGTGAATGTTATTATTATTTCCGGACAGTCGGGTGGGAAATGATGGGTTGAGACAGTCAGTGGTTGGAGTGTCAGATGCATGCATGCTGAGTGGCTCGCTTGGCAAGCAATCTAACCAGACCCAGTTAGTCTATAGAGAACAAAGTATGAATGGACATTGCTGATTGGTCAATCCAGGAAATAATCATTAGATGAACTAAGGTAGGTACCTACCTAGTCTGATTGATGCCTGAGGAATGAGGACAATGATCACAACCCTGCTTGGTCTGATCTAAATTGCTCCATTGTTGTCAACACAATACATGACCTAAAAAGGTACATTGATTTCATCAAGTACTTGTCTCTGTCATAATTTTCAGTAACACAAGACAACACCGGTAGGTATGGAGTACTACCTAGGTAAGGTAGTAATTTCCCCCCCTACCAAACAACAACCATGATTGGTCGAGGTCTTCGCGCTCTATCTGGATGATCCCAGTCTAGCGTCTTCAACGTGGCCTTGCTCGCCGCCAGCCAACTCATCTGCTGCAGGATTCGTCCAGGAACCGCCGTGCGCTTCTTCTGACTGGCCTGTCAGGCGGTGCTGTACTGCTTGAAAGATGTGCGATGTGCTGCCTGCATATGATGCTCTTGAGCCAATAGGACTGCAGGATTGGCGTTTGTAGGCTGTTCACCCTTAATGAGTCTAAGCTAGGTACCTACGTTGTGACTCTCAGCTGGATACTTGGGTTGGATTGGGGTCCGGAGATGGGTATCGTATTACTTGAGCTACTATCCATTATTTCTGCGGGTTCAGCACGTCCTGAGACGGGGTGTTGAAGAGTAAGCACAGAACTAGATAGGATTCTCATGATGGCATGACTTAATGGAAGAGCTGTACATGGTATTCTTAGCTGTTCTTGCCCCCTTTAACGATTTGACTCTGGCATTAACAGCAAGATGCTTAAAACTGCTACAGGTGGAGGCTCTATACTTTTCTCCCTTGCAAGCAATGATCGCCAGTTGAGACCGATCATGATGTCACCCTGAGACAGTCTATTACAACTTCTATCTTATGTTTGAAATCCTATCCTCGAAGAACATCCGTTGCTGTTCAGCATAATTTGGTCTGTTACTATGTACAATCTCTTCATTCACTGTAGACCAGTGCCAGGCCGTTAGTACTGTCCCGGGGTTACCACGGATGAAAGATCACATGCAATACTCGAACCAAGATAAGTTCTCAAGAATCGACTCAGTAGTTGGAAACACGAGATTCATCAAAGACATGCGAAATTGAGCTTGGGTATCTGCTGGCCAGACATTGCATCATTCTGTCAGCCGGGAGTGCAATGAGCATCGGAAGTCATGAGATAATGAAGGACAAGCAGAGAAGAAACAGGTATGAAGCGGTAGAAGGTCCCCTGCTTCGGAGTGAGAGTAATCAAGAGGGCGTCGTATGTGGCTCTGACAACCCTACACTGTTGAGGTGATGAATATCGACATGCTTCTCGGCCAAAGTCACACCCCGTTCAGGCGTCCACAGAGACTGTTGGTCCAGAGAAGGGGAGCGACGATGGCTCCTTTTGAGACGGGAATCGCTTTTGCACTGGTTCAGGTGATTCGCCGCCCGGTCCCCTTCCATTCATTCGGTCAAACTCCAACGTCTCCGCCAACTCCGTAGCCATGGGATCTAATTCTTCCTCCTTTAGGCCTGTTGCAAGAGCGACGAGCCTCCGATGCACATCGAATTTGGTGCTTACCCCGGCATCGGCCGTCTGCTGGGCCAAATCCCTGACAGCTGCGCGGCGCGTTTTCTGTACCGAGCATAGCTGTCGCGCGAGCTGATAAGTGATTAATAATTGGTTCTGTTCGGTCGAGGAGGGCATCATGTTTTCTTTCGCCGGCGAAGGCATTGATGTTAGTCGCTCTTTCAGGCGAACTTGTTGAATTTGTTCCAGAAGAGATTCGTAAGTGCTTCTGAGTCGCTCGTATCGTTCAAGCTGTGCCTCAATCGGCTCTCCTTCGGTCTCTTTGGCTTCCAAGGCGGCAGTCTGCCTCTGAATCTTCTGCCGATCGAGTTCCAACTGCTCGTACAAAGCTTCGGGATTCGCGACGTCGTCTGAGTCTGGTTCATTAGACTTTATACGCCCGTAACACGCCGCGAGCTTCTTATTAGTTTCTGCCATGATGACACTCATCTTGGAAAGTAAGGCTGAGATGGCAGGGGAAGCTTCGAGCGGAAGAGCAACAGTTCGGTCCGAGTTTTCCAGGACAGTGAGATCACCTTCTGTGTGATCGTTCCCCACTGTTATTGAAGATGGCGGGGGAGGAATATCCCGCTCCGGGGGATGTGCTCTCTGAGTAATGCTTGCGGCCGTTTCGCCTTTCTTATTGACCAGATCTCCAGCTCGCGGGCAGTTCCCCAGAAGCAGATTGACCAAGCGAAATGCGCCATTTCGAGCTGCAACTAGAGCGGCTGTATCCCCATTGGAGTCTTGGCAGGAGAGCAGCAGGTCAATTTCGTCTCGCGAGCAGGTATTGTGCAACTTCTCCAACAGGACTTCACAGTAATATCGAGAGCTCTTCCATTTTCCTTTACTTCTGGTAGTTTCCGATATGTGATGGAAAATGGTGGCGCCGAACCAGTCCCTGAACGAGACAGTGTCAAGGAGTAGGTCCAGAAGTGCCGGGAATGTCCTCTTCTCATAATTGTTCGTAAATAAAACAGCGCGTACTAGAGGCGTTTCTTCATGGACGGATAGTGCCTTGATATCTGCACCCCTTCGCAATAGATCTTTCACAATTTCCAAATCACCCATTGCACAGGCCCAATGAAGAGCGGTATTGCCTGAATCATCAATTGGACGATCCACTTGGAAATTGGCTGGAGGTTGAGGAGGCGGAATCCGTGTTGCTTCCGGGGCGTCCCCTACTGTCATAAAGTAATCTAATAGCTGGTCACCATAGAGTATGTGTTCCTGCTCACTAATCGACATGGCAGTGACTTCGTTCATGTCGCGCTTACGCTTTCGAGAATAAGAACCATGTTGCGACATAGGCATCATCTCTTCATCTGCCACCATGGACGATGACTCGAGTGTCGCCTGCTCAATCGATTCGTTATCGTCAAACCCGGGGTTGATTTCAAATTGTTCGTGCGGGAAGCTCGGTGGTCCCATGTTGCGAATGGGTTTGGCAGCATTGAATACCTCCTCTTTCACAGCTTTCTTTTTGGAGGCCCTTGGTTTCGATGACGCGGCGGAAGTATGTTTTGGTGCCGGCGGAGGAGTGCGATCTCCTGCTACATAGTCGAAAATCGGCCTTAGCTTGTCAATGATGTTATTGCGCTCGGCGAGTAAACGACCCTCGGGCAGTGGGATCCATGTTCCTATCCACAATTTTAGCCGAAATGACAAACGCCTATCACTTGACCATGTAGGATATCATACCCTGGTATTTGCCGTAACCACCCTGAACCTTCTCATGAATCCCTTTTTGGACTTCACGCTCGAGGATCCGGGTTCTCGCCGGTTTGTCAAAGCCAGCTACTTTGAGAATATGTGTGGCATTGATCCAATTATCGCCTCGTCGGCGCATAACACTTTCACCATCGATCTTGAACTCGTAGACTGGAACCTATTGAACCGTATCAGACTGCCTTCGCGGCGGCGGAAGGGGTAAGTTGGATGGAAAGAGGGAGGGGAGCAGAATCGAGGTTGTTCGGAAAAATAGAGGGAAATAACTCACGCTGCTGTATGTAGCAGAATAGATTTTTGAGAAATCCACCGCCGCCATAATGCCCGTCTCCGCAAAGTTCGATGCAATCAGTATGTTCCCGAGCTGTTAACAGCAGATGATTTGACGCGGCTGCACGGCTTCTGATGGCCAATCGCGAAGCCTAGATTCACCCTTTTTCGGGCATTTAAGAGTATGAGACAATATAGGAGCCCAATCAATTATAAAACGGCAGCTTTAAAGACGAAAAGATGAAGTATTAGCCGCCAGTGGCTCGTTGAAGACTCAGTGACATCCTAGAAACGCGATGCTTTGCAGGCTGGCTAGTGAAGACGCGCCTGGGAGGAAAGAACCGCGTAAAGTGGTCTTGGGAGGCGCTAGTCCTATTGCAGAGCCATTGTCACGTGGTGTCACCTGACGGCATCGCGGAACGAAGGAACAGCATGCCAGCAGGAGAGCTGCAAATATCGCTGCTCGGTCGCTTATCCTTCAACCACACTCTTCCCTGCATTGTTTTTCTCCATCAAGATGACTGTCGCCGAGTCAGTGAAGAGCGCCGTTGGGCTTGGGGATAGCACTGGTATGTTTCGGTGCCATTGGCATTCGAATCTAGAAATCGGACGCCGAAGGATTAATATCTGAAATGGCTGCTAACCCATTGAGATAGTCGCTTCCCGTCAAGAAATGTCCGATGCTCGTCTTCCCCTTCCGTACCGAGACTCCTGTGCACACCTCCTGATCCCATTGAACCGGTGCCGACAGCAGGAGTACTACCTTCCCTGGAAATGCGAGGTATTACAACTGTGCTTGCATCCCAGTACAAGATATCGGGGTTTCCTCCAGCAACTAACTCTGTGAACCTCTGCTACAGGATGAGAGACACAGCTACGAGAAGTGCCAATACGAGGAATTCAAGAAGCGCGTCGCCAAGATGGATGAACTGCGAGCCGCGAAGAACGGTGCTCGGAGCAATTGATTTGTGAGAGACCAACTGTGCACTCGAAACGAACGGAGGAACGGACTATGTACATAATAAAGATTCTGAGGTTATTTGTCCATGCACTGACTGGCGTTGGGATCTTTCTTCGCAATGAAGTTGCCGAGTCTATGCCAATGAGCACCCAAGGCCTGTTTATCCGTTGAGGCTCCTTTCGCAGGAACTACATATCTTTACACGATGCTGAGTTGGTCATGTGTATGAGCTTTTGTCCGCTCCAAAGGTGGCCGGTGATTGCGGATGGCTGTCGCCTCTTGGTATTTGTTAGCCAATCTGCTTTTCGACAGAACTAGCTCATGGTGCTCTCGTATACAGTTCCGTCGCTGCTTCCTGTCTTTGCTCCCATTTACGCTATGAGTTAAGTTCCAAAAGTGGACATTCCGAGCGGCTCATGGATGCACTGGTCTCGGCGCAATCTTCGATATGTCATACCATTCAGAAGGGACTGCCTCATCATCCCAGTAAACAGCCCTTCCTAAGTAGCGTTAAGTAAGAAGAAACCCATTTTCAGCTGTGACTGGAAGTCAATTCCGAAGTCTGTATTAGAGCAAGGCGTCATACAAACAACCTATCATCCAAGGCACGCTACCCTAAATCGCACCGGCATTATCGCGGAGTTCGGATGTTTCCAACACCTCATTTAAAATCAATAGTAGCTACTAAAGTGTCTTATGACATGTCTTTGTTGTCTGTTTCGAATAAAAGAGAAAAGCAAGCTACTTGTACTGCTGCCCTATTATTACGTGCCATAGACGTAATCACATGATCCGATGTTCTCCGCGCTTGGAATAATTTCCAGGTTGCTTATAAATCCTCTTCGTGCAGTTTCCGCCGCGTTTATCAGCAAAATATATGGTTTTGATGACTATTTCCAATTTTTGCTGCCCCGCGGGAACGAAAAATGCCCCCCCACTAGTATGCCAGCGGTTTACGCCAATAGGCAAATGATTCCGGCCACCGAAGCATCGGGGCGAAAAAGCAGATAAAGTCGAACCATTACTTCTGTGATGATCAGATAATCTCACCTCTTCTCCTCCTGTTACTTTGTATGCACTTTGCACCACTTGCCAGGGACATTGATTGCATCTTGCTCTCTGGGCCCGCGTTCATTCAAGGTCTAGACTGCCAGGGATTTCCGCCTCCTCTGTGCGGGGTCTCGGATTTGTCCTCAGCTTGACCCCTGTGGCTGATTGGGCTTTCGTGATACAATGGGTTTACTGTATGCCAAGAGTGAAGTGACGATGCGCGGAATCTGATGCTAATGTTACCTTCAGAGCACTTGGAACGGCACTGGAGTGGCCGGAAGCCAAGAAACGTTCCGATCAAGTGCGGAAATGGGGAATTGAGGTCAGTCCCTTGAAGTCAATGTTCTCTGTCCGTGCGACATGGGATCTGGGCCCCTTACTGACACAACAGGTAGCAATTACTGGCTATCTGGAATAGAGCCAAAGGGAAAGAGCGTGATGCTCTTCTCTGGGGTGACGAGGTAGATTTCTCTTCTATCGAGTTGAGCTGCTCTTTTTGGCCAAATGACTCACACGGGATCAGGTTGAGTACCTTGTGGTAGCTGTCGACGACGAGGCTAAAAGGGCGCGATTGTCTCTGGCTCAGGCTGAGATTCTCAAGTCCTTGGCCCGAGACGAGGCATTGTGGAAGTCGAAGCGCCCTATTCCGGGACTTGGTAAAGAACAGTAAGCTATTTCGGTCATGTTTCTTATTACCGGATCTGTCTAATACCCGGCGACTTAGTGAGGGTGAAGATCCTCCTCATTTCCATCCCGAGTTCGGCCGCTTTATGCTGGAGGCTACTCCGGGTAGGCCGTGGGGTATCGACTTCAAGGATCTTTTGAAGGTGGAAGCGAATATGAAATGGAGGTGCGTTTTCTATTGCCATCAAGATGCATTTACGGTCACTAACTGTACGGTTCAGGCGGGAGATTGCAAAGTCCCACATGGCGCCAAATGAGTACCCCATCACGCTTACGACGTTTCCTCGTCTAGGAACAAAGGATGATTACATTCAGCCTTACTATCCTCCATCTGGCCCAGCACTGCGCTCGCAGTTTGTCCCCGACGAGATTGCTAATCCGCATATCAGATTCCCAACACTGGCAGCAAATATCAGATCGAGAAGGGGCCGGAAGGTCGAGTTGAACGTGCCAGTATTCGTGGACAAGAACACCCCAGTGCCTTTCAAGGACCCCACCGTTAACTATGATCTTCACAATTGGCCTGAGGATGATGATGTTCGAAATGGAGCAGCAAAGGATGGCCATGTCTATATGGATGCGATGGCGTTCGGAATGGGCAGTTGCTGTCTTCAGATCACATTTCAAGCAAAAAACATAACGGAAGGAAGAAAACTGTATGATCAGCTTAGCCCGCTGGGACCCATTTTACTGGCACTTACGGCTGCGACACCCATATACAAAGGATTCCTTGTCGATACTGACGTTCGGTGGAATCAAATCGGGAATGCTGTTGACGATAGGACGCGGGAAGAGCTTGGCGAACTTGTAAGAACTCTTCCATACCCCCGTCTTACGACGTAGATGTAATGGAACTAACAAAGATACCAGCCCCTGAAGAATGATAGATGGAGGATCCCCAAGTCTCGATACGCGTCCAACTCCACCTACATCTCCCAGGACCCCAGGCTGCGCAAGGAGTACCTGGATCCCGAACTGATTGTGGATGAAGACATCAAGAAACGACTTATTGAGGGCGGCATGGATGATTTGTTGGCGACGCATTTCGCCCACCTTTTCATCCGTGACCCCTTGGTCATCTTCTCAGAGGATCTGGACGAGCTGGATTTGAACAAGGCCGACCACTTTGAGAACTTGCAGTCGACTAATTGGCAGCACATGCGCTTCAAGCCGCCACCACCTGACAAGGCTGACATTGGCTGGCGTGTCGAATTCCGCTCTATGGAAATCCAGATGACGGACTTTGAGAATGCGGCTTTCAGTATCTTTATTGTTCTCATCACTCGTGCCATTCTCAGCTTCGACCTCAACTTCTACATACCGATTCAGCGAACCACCGAGAACATGGAGACGGCTCATGCACGAAATGCGGTACTGGACCGGAAGTTTTATTTCCGCAAAGATCCTTTCTCCCGCCGTGTCCCCAGGCAGAGTCAGCGTTCGACCAGCGCCAGCGAGGCCTCATCTGCCACTTCTTCCGCCTTCAATACACCACCTCCGTCGCCTCCACTTGGCCCAGTGGATTTGGAGTACGATCTTATGACCATTGATGACATAGTCAATGGCTCTGCTGATGGATCATTTCCGGGGCTCATTCCACTCGTTGAATCGTATCTGAACAGCGTCAATGTGGACGTGGAGACTCGGTGTTCCTTAGCTACCTACCTTGACCTCATCAGGAAACGAGCAAACGGCACTCTATGGACAGGGGCCCGGTGGATTCGTGAGTTCGTTAGCTCCCATCCTGCCTATGAGCAGGATAGCGTGGTCTCTCAAGAGATCTGCTACGACCTTGTGAAAGCTGTTGACGAGATGGCCGTAAAAGAAGGCAGGGATGGAAGTGTCGGGTGGCAGTTACTCAGGGCGCAAAGAGATTGAGAACATTTGCTTTAATTTGGTGATGAGATCTGTTTCACAGACCTGGCATTGGTGGATAACATCATTCAGCTATAGATAGCATTCTCTTGCGTTAGTCGGTGTCCCATTACATGACCTATGCAGAGCGTCATTTGTTATCCAGACCCTTTCCAGTTCTTCCTCTTGTATTTCTAGTCTTTAAGCCGAATTGCTTACAGGCATCCAAGAATTTCGTTCGTTGAAACCGATCATGTGTGGAGCCAGACTGATCTCAGGCCAGTGAAATTTTCTCATCCTCCGTTGGTCGTCGACACGAATCAGCCAGACCAGTCACCTTCCATTCCCCATTGATCTTATGGAGGATGAATAGTTCGACACCCACATGGTCCACAACCCCATTGATCTTCGCCCTGAACGGGGCCCACACAGCCGCTAGATTCGCCGACTCGTGCACCTTCACTTCAGGGTCCCAGATGCGCTCGTCGATATCGTCCTTGAGCTTCGAAATATGCTCGACAAAGGCGCCGATTGTGCAAAATCGTGGCACGGTGGGTGGCGGCGGCCAGAGCGCCATTCCTCCTGCCTTAACGCAGTACTTGTCGAAGTCATCGCGAGACTTTGTTTCCAAGGCAGAAAGGAAGCCCGTTATCACAGCAATAATGGCGTCGACCTCGTCTGTTTGATTGCAGATGGTTGAGGGTGAAAGATCCGATTGTCGCCGAGATTGGTTTGGTAGTGTCCAGCACATTTTGGACTTGTGGTCTTGATTGGAGGTGTGGGTGTAGAAGTGAAAAGAGCTCTTTTCGCTTGCGTTGTGCGCTTCTCGACCAGTGAATGGCAGAAAGCCTGTGCTCCCAACTTTGGCATTCGGTTCCGGGGCAAGACCTTCATTTGATTTAAGGTCGACATCACCCGACTGTTCCATATCACCAATTTCACATGCAGGTTTCCGTTGAGAGGGTCTATCTCTTGGAATTGCAGAGGCAGATGGTGTTTCTGATCCTGCTGTTTATGCTTGAGGGAGCAGTGGGCACATGTTCGATCGAGGGCTGTCTCTTCGAGAAGAATTATCGCATGCTAGAGCATCCGTCGACGATTCAGGGGACATGACGCTGACAGATCCCATCAACAACTGCTTTGGAAAGACGTCTACAGAACGGGTTGGAAGTGTCACCGTTACAATGCAAGCTGCATCTAGTTTTTACCGTATGACAAGTATGACCGTTTAACCGGCGAACGGCAGAGACACATGAAGATTGAATGCGGCTTGAAAGATTGCCTCTGACTGTGTAACATTGTCAAGACCCGGAGGCAACACGAGCAGGATGATTGCGTAGCATTTCCCGACAACCTCCAGGAGGAAGTTATGCTCAGACTGAATGACCCTACCAGCCAGCGTTCGTTGTCATATAG